GAAATATGTTTTAACTGGTCTACATAATATAAAAGTGAAAAAAAAATTGAACTATTTTATACGAACAATCATTGGAATTGCTACTTTGTAAATATTGTATTTTATACTATGAATATACTTTTATCTTATTATTGTCCCTTAAAAATATTTCAATTAAAATTACAGAAAACGAAAGGAAATTAAATTATATGTACTGATAAAATAGGAATAAAATGTTCTAAGTTGTGTATACAAACTGCATCGTGATTAGTCCAGTAGTGGACCCAAAATTCTAATGGCAATGATGATAAAAACAATATAAAATTTCAAAACATTTAAAAGTTCTTTTACAAAATACTAGTTGCGTAAAAATTGTAATAATTTTGGACAATATGCAAATTTATTTTAACTAAACTGGTTCCTTCAACTGGTAGTTTCTTTTTCTTTTATATTGTGTAATTTATTGAAAAGTAATGATAAATTATATTCTTATTAGAAATAATTTAACGTATAACAAAACCTGTATCAAGAAACAATTGCATTAAATATGGAATATTATATTTTTATGAGTGTTTTTATACGAATATGTACTTGATGGAAACATTTAAGTTGAAAAAAAATTAAAGCTTACGAAAGCGTATTGTCATTGTAACCGCCGACATCAGCGTAACTACTATGGATGGTGATGGTGGTCTCCTAGGTTATATCGATCAATTTCGCAATACGCGAGCAAACCGGGTTCGATCACCGCCAGTACCAATGAAATTGTAAAGTGCTGATTTACCACGTGCTCGGCGGTGAAGAAAAATATCGTGAGGAAACCTGCTTGTTTGAGAAATAAGAAAAAAATTTCGAAGATATGTGAAGTTCCCCAACACACATTAGGGCAGAAAGAGGAGGCCTGTGCCCAGCAGTGGGACGTATATAGGCTGTAACTTTACCTTTACTTTTTATATCAATCAAATAATATCCACTACGTGATCGTTAAGAAATATTCATCTACGCAGAACATGTATAACATGTATCCCGTGAAAAAGTAAACCAGAAGTAAGTAATTTATCCCATGGGTATCGACAGAAGCAGGAGGTGATCAGCAGCGTATTCTTGATCAACCCAAAATAATCCAAAACTGCGGGTGCGAACACGAATGCGATAAATTTCGAACACGTTGGTGTGACGTGAGGTGGTTAGCGAGGCAAGTATGGGGAGGTTCAACAGTGGACTTTTGATATGCAGTAATGGATGAATCAATGAATACAATAATGAATGAACATGTCTTCGAATCTCATTTGTTTTGTTCTCACTTACCAAGATTTGAGTATATTTGGCTTTTGTTTGTATCTGGTTCTTAGTTTGAATATCAAAGGATACTCACACTAGAAATCATAGGGTCAGGAACCGTGAATTTTTGAAAGTTTTTATCCCGCTCAATCGTATTCAAAATTTTCCCCGGTGAAAATCCAAATTTTCGTAAAGTAAAAATCACTGTGGCATTTAATTTTTTGTTACCGATTTTATACAACACATGTCGAAATTTCCAGAACAGAAACAATAAAACGAAAAACGCGCCATATATCCATTTGTGGTACCTGTAGTGCGTTTGTGTGATTCTGATGGTAATCGTGAGGTGGGCTTGTTTTGATGTTTCGTTTATTGAATTGGTTGTACTAATATATTATTTCCGGTTACAAAATATTATCAAAATTAAAAATATAATGCGGTTGCGGAGTGTGTTCCCGCCTGCTGATGTCTAGAGTTACACAATCGAACTTTTGGTCGATAGAGGTCATCGATAGAGCGGCCCTAGCCGACAAAACTAATATTCGATAATAACGCACATTTTCAGTATTTTCTATAGTTACTGACACAGTGATATGAAAGAAAACAAAATATAATAAAAATTAATTTGAATTAGGATTTTCAAGTCAGATACTAGATATCGGATTTTAAATTAGGTATTGTTAAAGAGCGTCAAATTGGTAAAGATTAATTCATGACTTTCGAAACAGCTAATAGAAATTGGACCATTTTGGTAAATGTTGTCTTTAGATAAATTCAAAACGCAAACACGATGGCAACAGCAACTTATTCAAAATCGTGGGCTAGATACAAATTTCATGACGTTTCGAAAACTCATCGTGAGTATAAAACTGATATTTTTGATTCGTTTTGCACAGACGTTCCCCGGCATCCTCCAAAGCCACTTGTATATAAACGCCATGAATTCTTCAGTAAGTATATTTATTAAAAAATATTTTAAAACATAATTCTATTAAAATACATTCTAAGTGTAATAAATAAATAATTTTGGGCTTACTTAGAATCTAACCGCACACTTAAAGAAGATAGGGGTACAATTCAAAGGAGGGAGAGGAGGGAGAGTTAGGTCACGGACCAACCCTTCCCCCTTCCCCCTCCCCATGTACTTAATTATGGAAACACACTGAGCTGAAGTTTATCCGAAACTAACTTCAAAAGTACAAGGTTTAAATTACTTCAGTGCTTTAAAATTGTGATTTGTATCGTTTCAACTTGGAACTGGCATTACCTACTACTACCATTTTGCTCTTGCTTAATTAATCTCAAACACCCTTGCTCGTCTGCAAAGCTTCATCTGTTTGGTTCTGTAGCGTAGCTGTCCTATTTATTTCATACAATAGAACTACCTACTAAGATAATATGATATTAATTTTTTTGTACTTCGATTTGCCTTAATTCCGATTATGTTCTATTTAAAAGTTGCATAACGGAAAATATTAAACACATAATTTCGAATAATATTCATACCGATTGACTGTAAAAAGTTTTAATAGTCTTCTTGGCTAGTTCAAAATGCCTCTTTTATACATTTTACAAGTATTTAACAATTAAAATCTGAGTATGAAGTTTGTTCATTGTTATAATTTTTGGATAGATTTATTACTGTAGAAATGCATATCGATATGTGAAAGTTAAAACGATATAAGCGACTTTTTTAGAAGTTTATAGGTGCGTGGAATAAAGTTTACGATTTTAGAAAACGATGTTTAAAAACCGGTTGATTATTTGTACAGAAAATTGGTAACTGTTATTTTGATTTGAGATGCGTCATATTTTAAGATAATAAGGAATAATCAATATAAAATAAAATAATGTTACTTGATACAAAATAAACTTTTTTATTTGCTGTGTAAGATAAAATAACTTAATCGCCACAGTTTCAGACACTACGAACATAAGGGTTCATTTTTAAAAGCTGTCTTTTAGAGTGAGGCTAAATGCATCGAACATCATATAAAAAGCAAAGCTGAGCAAAGATATTCAACTTAAGCGTCAAATAATAATTATTAAGAGAAAATTTAAAACAAAAACACAGATTCATTGTTACACCATTAGAAATCCACTATGGCTACCCGCATTTTGAATCTTGCTAATCTCACTCAAAAAAGCTTAAGTGATATGCTTTATTTGTCTTAAACGATTACTAAGTTTTAAACTAACATCTCGATTGTGTATTTTCAAGCAAATTTTTTTTTCCAAATAAAATGTGGCGAGCTTGGGAAACCATGAACACATTAAGCGAAATTCTATCGAAATATCGACTAGTTCAAGTTAATTTTCACGGAAACATGGCTCATTCTAAGATGCTTAGTTCATTTTATTTTTATAAACTTCCAAGATTATAAAAATAAGATGAAATAATTTTGACTCATTAACCGCTAAAAAGCGTTCAGATGTTAGTTGAACTCCACGTAATCAAAGCGGAAAATTTTCTGATTACAAATATTTATATAATATCAATATTTTTGGTTTCGTGGTGCAGTAGATTAGCAAGGAGTTAGCTTAGTAAGTAATTGCTGCGCTGAGGGCTGCCGGTTCGTATACCGCCCATATAAGTATTTGTATGAATTCTCGTAAAATTTATATATGTAAACTGCCTCTACGATACAAGAGAAAATATAATATGGGAGTAATGTTTAAAAAAATCGCACAGGATGTCGCTTAAACATTTTTGCCTTTTACCCGTCCATAAAATATGCTCAAAATTATTGGTTCAAAACCTACAGAAATGAATTAAAGTCATTTCTGTCACCACAAAAGAGTTATTCATAGCATAATTAACAAATTAAAAATTACAGTTGTACTAATTAAATAGTTCCATTATTTGATTTCCATTATACATTTTATCTGAGAATAAAATGTCTGTATATTAGTGTGTGTGGATGTTAAAGAATATTACTATTTAATTTTCACCCACTTCCAGGCATCTAAATAATCTGAGCATGCATCAAAAACTGATGATAATATAGTAAAATCATGAATACGGTCTAGTTTTTCTACCATGTAGTGGCGGTGTAAGACTATCCACTAATTCATATCGTGCCGCGGATGTCGTAATAGGTAAAGTAATAAAGTAAAGTTACAGCCTATATACGTCTCAGGCCTCCCCTCATTTCTGAGAGAGTTTAGGGCAAGGATGTGTCCGCCGCGCTGCCCAAATGCGTGTTGACGAACTTCACATGTCTTCGAAATATTTTTTTTTCTTATTCCTCAGATATGCAGGTTTCCTCACGATGTTTTCCTTCACCGCCGAGCACGTGGTAAATCAGCACTTAAAATTGCAATTAACAATTTCATTGGTGCCGGTGGGGATCGAACCCGGGTTACTCGCGTTCTGTTATATTTACAGCGAGCGTTAACCACTGAGCTACCACGTGCTCGTAATAGGTGACAGAGAGAAAAAAGCAGCAGAGCGTCTACCTAATAACAACAAAACCGCTTCGGTTGCCTAACCGCCTGCCAATCATGACAGCCATGGCAAAATCCTCTCTGTGAGGTAATTTATAGGCAAGGTCTATGGTCTGCAGTATGAGCATAGGGTCATTCCAGGTCATGAACAATGCGTGTTTATTAAACTTTAATATTATATTCTGTCAACTTCATAAATGATTTTTATCTATTTTAAAATAATTCCTTAAATGATTATTTTAAACTATATTTATTCGTACACATTAATCGTATTTTTTTTACAGATATGGTTAATGTTAGTGGTCTTTGCAATTGTGAAAGCGCAATCTACACAATTGGACCCTGGACCACAAACATTTACTGAAAATACACAAGCAAATCAAAAACTTCAAAAGAGAGATGTTATCATTTATCTAACACCTGAACAAATTAAGGCCATACAAGGGGAGAATGGTAACGTTAATTCTCAGCAAATCGAACAGACTGAAACTTCTGAAGAAAATCAGGAAGAAAGAGAGCAGGCTCAACAAGAACAAGAGGAACTGTTTCAGTTAAGGTCTCTTGAAGAAGACTCTGAGGCATTGGAGGAGGAAGACAATGGGCTTCCAAAATCGATACCGGTGGAAGAACCCAACTCTGAAGAAATTGAACAAAATCCTCAATTATCATATGTATACAGATCACCTCAAGACACGAACTTTGTACCAACTTCTGAAGATAATTACGCTTACCTAAGATTTTATCCCGATCCTGAAGAACAAACTGAAGAAGATCAACCTGAAACAGAAGAAAGCGAAGAAGAGACAGAAGACGATCAGCGAGAAGCAGAACCAGAGGCTCAGTCAGAAGCTCAGCCAGAAGCTCCACAACAGCAAGTATTTAGGTTGGTACCTTATGAAACCGCTACCGAGAAAAGCATCTCCACAACCACAAAGGCGCCGCAAGAAAACCTTCTTAAAGACCGCTGGCTTCGTTTATTAGAAATAAATCGTTCACAGTTAAGAAAAGCATCGTCTGCACAAGAAAAAACGACTACTACTACAGAGCAATTGCAAGCTGAACCTGAGACTACTTTATCTAAGCTGCGACTTTTGGCAAGAAATTATAATCAAAAACAAGCAGCTAAAAACCAAGATGTACGCAGAAAAAATTTATTAGAAAATCAAAAAGCTCTTATTCAAGCCGAAGCCCGTGCTAGAAACGCTCCTACTCAAAGCCGTAAAAAAGTCTCAACTACAAAACAGAACCAGGCACCATTAATTAAACGCGTAAAAGTTCCTACGCCCGTTTTAGTGCCAATTCCAGAGCCGTTTGAAGTAAAAGTTCCACATCCCTTCCCTGTACCATTTGAGATTTTCAAGCAAAGTTCTGGAAACTTAAAACTTAGGAAGGCGGAAGCGAAGAAAATTGCTACATCAGACCGATCTGAAAGTGACAAACGTGCTACGTCTGCTCAGAGACCATCAAATCCTACTGAAAAGACAGCTGAAGTAGAGCGCCGTAGACCCGCCGATGACGACGTAGAAATCCCCTCAAGAAAAAAGGAAAGATTAACCATTATTCGACATGTTTGGGAAAAATAATGAATCTTACTAATTCTTTGTCGTTTTTGAATAATTTGTTGTGTGTTTTGTTGATTTGAATTTATGGTAAAGTCTGTTATTTAATTATATGCTTTTATACCAGTTATATATTTCATTTTCATATATAATGTTTGAACTGTGTAGTGGCGGTGTAAGAATATCCGATAATCCGTATGGTCCCGTGGGTGTCGTAAGAAGTTACAGAGAGAAACAAACCTGGATATAGGCAGCATCGTCCACCTAATAACAACTACAATATTAAAAACTGCGGTTACCAATCCATCTGCTAAGCGTGGCGACTATGAAGCGTTAATAAGTAATAGTAGTAACATTCTGCCTAGAATTCTGTCGTTGCAGTTACCAACCACTTACTGTTTTCTACCACAGCCAATACAATTACAGGCTGTAAGGATCGATCTTAGTCCGCAGAGGAGCAATCGCATCTGTAGCCTCAATATTTTTAATTGGATGCAGGTATTCCTATATTTGCAGTAGCCACTTTTTAAAGAATGAGAATGACAAACGAGCACACACTGGATACTGTCGCCCATAGATATTTAAGTTTATGCTCACTTAAGACTCAAAAGGCAGAAGCATTGTCACTCCAGAGGACTAAGATGGATTGCCTTGTATTCAGTAAAAAGGACTGTAAGCTCGTTTGTCACTTTAACGTGGTAGAGCCACGCTGCTATATTATAGTTGTAGCACGAATTAGTTTACTCAACCGCAGCATCCACTTACCATTGGGTGGACTATGTGCTCGTTTGCAGTAGGGTAGAGAACCGGAGACTATTTTTACTACCAACAAGGCATTCCAGTCTAGTCCTCAGTGGTGGTAACGCATCTGCATTTTGATTCTTAATCGAGGATAGATACAGATGTCTATGGGCCACAGCATACGATTACCATCAAATCGACTGTGTAGGTATTCGCCTAATTCTATAAAAAGCAATATTTCACCTATTAAAGATACATCTATAAGACGAAAACGTCCTCTACTCTACTACAACTTCTAGGAATTTCTCCTGTAATAGGAAGGCATTTTACAAATATAAATTGTACAAGGACAAACACGCAGACCCGGAAGAGTTACTATTTGTAGGCCATACAAATTTTTATTGCATGCAGAAAAAGAGGAAATGTGCGGCCCATAGCGCAGCGAGAAAACGTGTTAAAGCCGTCAAATTCCAATTTCCCATTTTTTCAGACTTTAAGTTCAATATTTTTCATTAAAAAAAATTTTAATTGACATCCCGCACGATGAATTTAAATAAGATATTTCTTATTCCTAAGTTAATCCATGAGGTCATGTTAGGTAACTGAGTAGGTATATTATATCTACGAGTATGGCGAATTTTATTCAGCTGATTGAATCATTGCGTAAAACGTCTGTGAAAGACTGATAGACAGTCATCAAAGTGAGTTCATAAGAAATTTCTGCTAATTTTGGCACGCAAGGCTAAAGAAAAGTTTTCTTTATTTTATAACACTTTTTTAGATTCTACTTTAAATGCCTTAAAAATACTGTGTATATCTAAATTGTTAAAAATAAAGTTACATCCTATGTACTGTCCCCTGTGAGCACGGCTTTAAAGGAAGTGTCCGCCGCGCTGCCCCAAAGCGTGTTGGCGAACTTCACATGTCTTCGAAATATTTTTTTCTTATTTCTCTGACATGCAGGTTTCTTCACGATGTTTTCCTTCACTGCCAAGCACGTGGTAAATCAGTACTCAAAATTGCAATTAACAATTTCATTGACAATATGTGCGACATGGGAAAATGTTTAAAACAACTTTTAATAATCTTTTAATTTCATGTAAGTAAAAATGTCTTATCACTTTATTCCTTTAACACTCATAGTTTTGTTGTAAAATGAAGGTAATGTGTACCAGTTTCCGCCCTCGCACAAATAATTTGTGAAATTGTTTACCACCAGCGATTTTCCCGAACCGAGAAAACTTAGGGACCTTCATAAAACGAGCTTACTTCTTTTTTAAAAGGCCAGCAACGCACCATCATGTGAGCTGCTTGTTTTTTTGCCCCCTCTTCTATAAAAATATATAAGATATAGAGAAGAAGAGCCGTTTTGTGTAAAATTACAAACTAAAGATGTTCTCTTCGAAACTTTTTTTTATATATCCTACAGTTTATGGTTAGTGACTAAAAAAAGTCCGTGATACCCATAGAAATATAAAAACCTTTTTTCTTATATCTATGGTTATACCATAGACATATACATCTATCCTCGATTACGAATCAAAATGTAGATGCGTTGTCATCCGTGAGGACTTAGGTGGAATGCCTCGTTTCCAGTATAAAAGGTCTCCGGTTCTCTACACTCACCATACGAAACACAGCAGCATTAAGCTACTATTTGACGCTGGTATTCTGTAAGAGCGTGGTCCTTCCCCGGTCGAGACGACCCATTCGTGCTACAACTATACTACTAATAATACTACAGCATGGCTCTATCAAAAAGATAATCATTTTAAGCCATATAACCCAATTTTACCTACATATCATTTGTATTTTGCCCGTCATTTGTAATATTAATAGGCCTTCTAGGTCGAGTTGATGTAAAAATGGACAGTGTAGACATCGGTTGTGTGACCAATATTTTGGTTGAGTCCGACGGCCTTGGTCGCGAGCGCATCCCTCACGACACGTTGGGTCCGTGGTTGATGCCGACCGTGTGGAACGCTGTCGGCCGACGAGAGCGCCTCAGTGCGCGCTTAGCAGTCGTCGCAGGCGGATGTTTAATGGCACTATCGATACGTACGGAAGCAAAGAACGTGAGGTCCTGACCGAATTCTTGTCACTGTACTGTGATTTACCATGTCTTAAAGTAGCCACAATTTTATCCATTTTATTTTTTTTCTTCTTTTTTCATCTTCATTGCATAGAAACGTTAAATCTAAACCGATTTTTTGTCGTATAGAAAAGCAAGGAGCCATTTTTAAAAGTAACTACCTTACGTCTTTACTCTTTAAATACCAGAGACAACTGACAAGTTGAGTCAACCATCCGACCGTGTAGAACGAATACAAAAATCGGTTGACCCGACCAAGGTCACGACGGTTGGTGGTTGGTCCCGACCGTGTAGAAGCGCTTTAAATAGTGGGAGTTTGAAATGTAAGTAGACCATTAAAGCAAACCATATTTTTATATTTTTGCTACAATATACTAACAGGCGTTATCATAAAGAAACTAATTTTACAGCAACGACAGAAATTCTTAATTTTATTCGGGTAATTATCATTAGATATGATTATCAACACTCATGGATAAATTTAGAGTAACGAAAAGAGTGTATATAACAAATTATCACGGATGTAACTATTAAGTTTTTTATTTGAATTTTGCTCATTATTTGTGGATGTAAAATATCAAGCTTCGTAAAAACAAACGATCAATGACAAAAATTAACCAAATTAACAGAAAAAAAATTATTGTACTTTTTTCATAAATGCTTAGGAAAAGTTATAACGTGGGCTATAATTAGTAATTAGTGTTACCCCCTCTAGCTCTTCTAGTTGCTTCGAGAAGTATACCATAAATAATAAGTAAGAAAAGTATACCATAAATAGAGTAAATGGGGCCCTACACTCTATTGTGAAGAGTCAAAATGTGTCAAATAAGACACGTATGGCAATTTGTAATGCTGTGTTGTTTCCCACTTTAACGTATGGTAGTGAAAGTTGGGTGTGGCAGAAGAAGCACGAGAGTAGAATAAACGCCGTAGAAATGCGGTCGTTAAGGAGTATGTTAGGGCTGAATCTGAATGACAGGGTGAGAAATTGTGTGATAAGAGAAGAATGTGGTTTGCAAGATGATGTCGTGACCAGGATTAAGAAAGGAATGCTTCGGTGGTTTGGTCATGTGGAAAGAATGAATGAGGAAAGAGTGACAAAGAAAATTTATGTTGCAGAAGTGAATGGCAGAGTTGGAAAAGAACATCCTAGACGAAAATTTATCCTCCAAATTAGCGATTTATTCAAAACGGGCCAAATTAGGAGTACCCTTAACTGACGCGCATGTATTCGTGGGTATATGGATGTGAAGGAGGCGAGAGAGGTGTGTCAGGATCGTGCCAAATGGAAGTCTGTAGTCTCTGCCTACCTCTCTGGGTGACAGGCGTGAGTGTTTATGGTTATGGAAGTATACCATGTTCTAGTTATCAATAAAATCTTGAGAGATTGCGTTCCGTTATTCTTGTAATGCGTTCTTAAAATCTCTCAAATTAGCGGGGGCAAGATTTTTCTTTTCTTAATTTATCTTCCAAACGTGTCCCATACATAGTCTGTGAGGTATACGAGGGTGGCACTGAAAATTTCGGAAATCAAGGAAGTGACACAACATTACTATTTAAAAATGTATTTATTGCTTTTCGAAGTATTCTCCGCGAAATTTGACACATTTTTCCATACGATGGAACCAATCATTGAAGCAACCATTCCATTCGGAAGTTGAGGTCTCCAAAATGGCGTTTTGTAGGCGTCCACAGCTTCCTCAGGTGATGAAAATCTCTGTCCACGCAATTTATTTTTTATTTTAGGGAAGTATAGAAATCATTAGGGCTTGGGAGCTGTACGGTGGATGGTCTAATAATTCTATGTTTTCTTGCTCTAAAAATTCTTTTGTTCTGTGTACGGTGTGAGAACTCGCATTGTCGTGATGGAGGATGATGCGGCGGTTGCAGTTCTCTTTACGGAGTTCAGGAACGACCTGTGGCAAACAAATGCTAGCATACCATTCTGCACCATTAACCGTTTTTTGTCTCTCAAGAGGAATAGTCGTAACATGGCCGGTTTTGGAGACAAACGTGGCCACCATTTTTTTTTGCAGCACTCCGTGAACGAACAATTTTTGTTGGCTTTAACTCATTTTCGAACACCCAAACTCGCGACCGTGTAGTGGCGGTTGAGAATATCCACTACCCCATATCTTCCCGTGGGTGTCGTAAGAGGAGACAGAGGAGAGGCAGGAGATGGGCAGCAGCA